CTCTAGGCCCACTTTTCAGTAGCAGAGACTATAGCATACATTAAGTGCTTGGCATGAGCCAGTGTATATTACATTGAATTAAATGGCCAAGCCAGCAAGACATGCCTGAAGGGCAAGGTGGGAGATATTTGCTTTACTATGTAACTTCAGAAAGTGCTTTGATATTTTATCTATAATCATAATGCTTTAGGATATTAAAAGTTGAATAAATCGATGTTGGAGTGGAACACTGTGATTTCTGTGAAAAGTATGACAATAGCATGTTTCTGAAATATATTGATGGCAAAGATGGCAGAAAAATATTTTAAAAAAGAACAAACCAAACCAGTTGTAATGAAGTCAGTCCTGACTCATGTTGTTGTTGTTAAGTGCCATTGAACTGGTCCTGACCCATAGCTACCCTGTATAGGGTTTTCAAGGGGTGGCTGGTGAGCTTGAACCTGGTGGCTGGTGAGCTTGAACCTCCGTCTGACCTTGCAGTTCAAATGGTTTTGCAGTCCAGCGCATTAACCCTTAGCGCCATAGCAGGACTCCGGTTCTGACTCATGGTGACCCTGTGTATATGAGAGTTTTCAATGGCTGACTTTTTTTTTTTTTTAAAGAAAATCACCAGATCTTTCTTTGGAAGCACGTTGGGTAGACTCGAATCACCAACTTTTTGTCAACAACAGAGCAGTTAACCATCGGCGCCATCCAGGAATGCCCAAACAAAAAATAGGGGATGGCATGTTGTTGTTAAGTCGGTTCCAACCCATAGCGACACTGTATAGGGTTTCTAAGGAGCGGCTGGTGAGCTTGAACCACCGACCTTCCAGTTGAAGCCAGCCTTGCAGTCCAGTGCACTAATCCACAGTGCCATACCAGGACTCCTGGTATAAGATTACAGAATATCCTGTTGCTATCTAGTTGATTCCAGCTCATGGCTACCCTACAGGGGATACTATGTTGTCGTTGTTAAATGCTGTCAAGTTGGTCACAATTCATAGTGACCCTGTATAGGGTCTCCAAGAGGTGGCTGGTGAATCTGAACTGCTGATCTTGTGGTTCAAACTGACCTTGCAGTCCAGTGCCTATCCTACAATGCTACACCAGAACTCCTGAGGTGAGGGCTACTATAATTTTCCAATATTTAGTCTACATGAATGCTTATCTTAGATTTTCTCCTTGAAGAATTTGGTTCATATCCTCATGTTTTTGGTATAAATAATATTCAAAACACTCAACTTCTGACCTTTTAATATTTACATTGTAAAGGAAAATTGTTTAAATCTGAGGTTACTTGGGCTGTATCCTAAATACATTTGAAAGACTATTAATATATAGTCCCATACATTTTACAAGTTCCTATTTTATACATGCATAGTCTACATGGACTGATAGTGTTGTTGGAGTAGGTTTGAGGAAGCAAACCTTTAATTGAGTTTCCCAAAATTGAAGTAGGTCCTTTAAAGAAAAGAACAGAGAGACCAACATTTTCCACTGGCAAAGTCAACGTTTTCCAGTGACAAAGTCAAAGTTTTCCAATGGCAAAGTCAACGTTTTCCAGTGACAAAGTCAAAGTTTTCCAATGGCAAAGTCAAATATTTAATCTCATGAACATGGAAGAATTAAAAGCTGGAGAAACAGAAATAAAGTCCACATGTCAGTTTTTATTATTTTTTCCTTCTCGATTCTATTTTATCATCAGTGATTGGTAGTGATTTCCTACCAGCGAAAATCTTGAAAGATTTCTTAACCTGGAAGAAAAAAAAGAGAGCAAAATAAAAAAGAGTTCTTAGAATAAAATTTGAAAAAAAAAAAAATATATTCTACAATAGATCTTTATCTTGAACAATAATTTTCAAATCTAACTGCACTTTGAAATTACCTGAGGGGTTGTAGATACCTGGACCCAATCCCTGATGGGTCTTAATTACTTAATTAATCTGGGGAGGAATTTTAATACAGTGTTTAGTACAGCCAGAATGGGAAACCACTGAACAGACTAACAGTTAATCCATAGACCACCTGGAAGAGTGGGCTTCTAGGATGTGAGAGGAAGGACATCATCTATAAAAGATGATATTTGGAAGCACCACTGGCAGTTGGTTCATCATGGACTGAAGTAGCAAAGGTGGGAATGAGTAGTTTCTCTACATCTTGATCCTTCTTCTGTCTCTTTGCTGGAGAATAAACTGGGATAGATTACTGAATACTAGAGATCATTGGGGGATTTCATATGCTACCCTTCTCCCAAATCAATGGATCTTTTTTTCCTCCATCATTATGTTAAGACATTGCCTGATTGTCAAAGTTAATCATAAACAAGCTCCCTTTAAAAAGTCCACACCAGGCTCCTCCAGCACCCTAAATAGCACCTCTTCTTAGTCAGATGGTCACAGGTGTCACTGTGTCTTGACACTACCATGCTTATTGCCAGCTCATTCATTCATGAAGCATTTGTTAATATTCTCTGTGGTAGCATAGTGGTTACGAATCGGGCTACGAATCTTAAAGTCAGCGGTTTGAAACTACCAG